ACCAGTATGGCCAGGAGGACTCTTCCATTTGAGCATTGCTGCAGTGGAGCTCCATAGGTGGCTGGAAACACCTGCCCTGTGCTGTGAGTCCATGGGCATATCCCAGCTTAGACACAGTGCTGGGAATGGGCCACTTAAGGGGATGAGCCTGCTTAAGATACAGCCACTCACTCTGTCCTCAGCACTGCTGAAGGGGAAATGTCCCTCGTTCAGGCCTTGGAAATAATGAGGTAAAATGGACTTGGAACTATTAAAACCTCTCCAAAGACAGGACCAGATATTAGAATATCTGATGGGAAAAAAATGATGGGCAAACACAGCGTACCTGTACAGGGGCCCTCCTCTCACAGAGCCGCGGTGAAAACTCCCTGGTCACAAAAGGAGAGCTGGAAATGAAACATGAAGTAGTCTGCAGTGATGCTAGAAAAACCAAATCAACCAAAATGCAGCTAAGGACACTGACTGCACTGAAAAAGAGGGCTCTGAAGGCGGGTTTCAATGCTGTAGTCAGAGACCAGGGTTTTCCTTGCTTTCCCAACAAAGCCAGGTGCACAGTAGGACAATATGCAGTTATTTCCATGGAAAACAGGAAAAAAAACCCCAGACATATCCTTAGGGTGAATGTGAGCTGTCTTAAGATCAAACCCAACCTTTTAGCATACACTAACTTGCTGTACTAATGCTGGTTGTGACTATCGGTGTCGCAGCTTGACTCCAAGCCACACAGATACTCATGTTCAGGGCCAGTTTCTCTCCAAATACTCCCCAAACTTGGCTTTAGGGTGTTTGAAGTAGAACTGATGGAGATTTAAGCATCACCCCAAACACACAGTTCAAAACATCAGGGTTCCTCAATGGCCTCATTCATGTGCTTGAAATGAAGCACGTGCTGAATGAAGGCCTGTGGAACCAGGCTTCCCGGAATGCCGGGCACTGTTGGGTCAACAGACGGCTCTTTATGTTGGAAGCTTCAATACAGAACTGGTGCCCAGCTTTAGATAATCCGAATCTTATCGTTGCTACAAAGACCTTGCAAAGCACAAGTTATCACCATGAAACCAAAAGCTGCTTTTTATAGCTCACCCTAACTTCATTGAATCGAGAGTCAAAAGTTTCTCAGTACCTTTGCCATTAATTAAAAGGAGTAAAATCCTGTGACCCTTTTATAAGGAAAAATAGAGCGGATGTAGCTCCCATGCCCTGGACACACTTACATTTAGCTTGGGGCACTTCCAAAGGCCGCGATCCAACAAGATACTCAAACACCTGTATAACTTCAACACGCTTTCAAGAACTTCGGTGAAAGCAGGGAAAAATAAATCCTGTGAAAACACCGCTTTGTTTCTTTCAAATCTGATTTTTCAGGCCTCTCGAATGCAATGCATCACCTGAAATATCTCCTTCCTCATGTAGAATATTTTAATATTAAGCCAGATATTTTTATATTTCCACAAATTAAATGCAGCACGGCTGAAGGTTTGACAGAAGCTTTAATTTGCACATAAAAAGGTAGAACGATTTCAGTTTTGACAGCATAAGCTTTTGATTTGTTAATAAAGGCAATTCTTTCTCAATTGTGAACCTACTCCCCAAATAAGACAATGCCGTTTGTAACAGAAAAACACACCTTCCTGGCGTGGAGAATAAACTTTTGATCCAAGTTATGAAAGAAATTCAGACTTTATAAAAATGAAAGGATGAACTTTCACACTGAAGCTTTAGTAGTAACAGCACAAGAACCAGAGGAAGGTGCGTGTTCCTGCCACGTTCTCCGTACCTGTTGTTATTAACATAACCTACCTTCACGAAGTTTGGATGAGGTTCATTGCTAGAAAGTACCTGTGAAGAGTTGAAGTCATAGAATTATAGAATCACAGAATAGTTAGGGTTGGAAAGGATCCTCATGCTGGGAGCTGTGTGTCTGGAAATGGGTTTGGTTAACAATTAACACAGTTTTTCCTTGTGATGTTCTAATCAAACTGCAATTGAAGAACACTAAGATTTCAGACTCCTGTGAGGAAACCCAAGCACCACAGAGCTTTTAAACCGAGACGTAACCAAAGGAAGCAGAGGCCAAGCTTTCAGACTGACTCCTCTGTGCCCATGTCACCCTTCTCTTCTCCTCAAAGACCACAGAGGAGGAGAGTGTGTGCAGCTATGGAGCAGTTCAAGCAGAGCCAGCTTAAGCATGGAAAAACAATTAAGATGTGGATTTCTGATCTCAGATCAAGCACATTATTCAAAGCTTTCCCCATGTGACAGCCAAAAGCTGCAGCATGGAAGCAAAGCTGAAAGTACCCAGGATCCGTTTCAGTCTATAAAAGGGTAATGAAGCACCCGACCACGGGGCTGCCAAGTTCTCAGCTTTTACAGGCTCACAAGTCCTCTACCCTGGCACCAGAAGTTGACTTCAGCTTCTCAATGAACTGAGCCATGCGTCCAAACAGTCTGAGGTACAAAAAGTGTTGTTACTACAAGCCCACCACTTCTGCCTCTGAGAGGAGACACTAATCCAGACCCAGTGATACACAGGCAATGAGCAAATGATGTGGATACACCTGAGGTAAGATACACCAACCCACCTGCATAGGACTGGAAATCTCCTGGACATCTGCAGCCGTGGCAAGGAGCTGTTGACTGTCTGTGTCACTGGAAAGAGGGGTTCCTTACAGATGACTGGCAGCAGCATATCCTGCTGTAATACTAACTAAGCCCATGACACAGCCTGGCATCAATATTTTACTCTAGTGCACGTGGCATTTTGCAGTGACACTAGATACAGTGCTCTGAGGCTTACTGATTCAGGCCTTCCATTTAATAACAAAGGCTCTTGAGTTTTGTAAACTTCTAAGCTCTTGCTGGAGCAAGTCAAGCAGTTCACTGTTATTTTCCAAACAGTATCCCCTTGTGCTTGTCTTTACCTTCATCTCACCACAGTTGCCTCCTAATCCAGTGTTGGTGAAGCAAGGCTGAAGGTATTTTGGTCATGTTTTCACACTACTGATGTACAGTTGCCTTGTCTCTTTCCACTTTCCCTCTGACTACACTGGGCTATGCAAATGCAGCCACATGGCACAACATCTCCTTTTTTATTAAATAAAGCGTTTCCAGCTCCAGTGCATGGGCTTACACCAGGTAAACCGCATCCCATTAATGACAAGCAGCAGAAGAGAGAGGTCACTGGTATTAATGCTAGAAAACATTTAGGGTGAGATGAGAGGGGGAAAACAAGCATCCAGCAATTTCAGTGAGATTATCACAAGTAATCTCCAGTGATTTTTTCACTTCACACTGGTTTACAGCCTCAGGAATGGCTATCTTAAACCATAACCTTCTTCAAGTTTGAGCACTAAAGATGCTGGGCTCAACTGACCTGATTTTTCAGCCCCTCTACTCTGCTCTGGTGAGATTCCCCCCTGCAGTCCTGCATGCAGCTCAGGAGTCCCCAACAGCATAAGAGGGATATGTTGCTGCTGGAGCAAGTCCAGAGGAGGCCACGGAGATGCTGCGAGGGCTGGAGCAGCTCTGCTCTGGAGCCAGGCTGAGAGAGCTGGGCTGGGGCAGCCTGGAGAAGAGAAGGCTCCTGAAGGGGAGACCTGAGAGCAGCTCCAGTGCCTGAAGGGGCTGCAGGAAACCTGGAGAGGGGCTTGGGACAAGGGATGGAGGGACAGGCCAAGGGGAATGGCTTGAACCTGCCAGAGGGGAGACTGAGCTGAGCTCTGAGGCAGAAGCTCTTCCCTGTGAGGGTGCTGAGGCGCTGGCCCAGGGTGCCCAGAGAAGCTGTGGCTGCCCCATCCCTGGCAGTGTTCAAGGCCAGGTTGGACACAGGGGCTTGGAGCAAGCTGCTCTAGTGGAAGGTGTCCTTCTCTGTGCCAGGGTGCTGGAACTGGATGATCCCTTCCAACCTAAGCCATTCTATTATTCTATGACAGAGACACTGTCTAGGGACAGCATGTGGGTGGGACGCAGTACTACCACCCCAGAGCAAACCCAGCTTGGGCTGGCAGGAGCAGTATTTAAAGTGCTCTCATTTCACCTCTGGATCCTATTGTTGAAAAACTAAAATCATTTTTGTCACAGTTCAGTGGTGCAGCCACCTCTGGGAGCAGGACTGATGCCATAGCTTAGTTCTCTATCTTAGGGTAATCAGCTGTAATTCCACTAACTCCAATGGGTTCATGCTGGGGAGGGCTCTCCCTTTCACAGGGTTCAGTGCTTTGGTCATGCCTGAACACAGTTCTTCAAGATCACAACTCACAATACTACTCAGTAAAGCATCAATCAAGCCTCTTTTTTTAGTAACTTGGAAATGAAGTATTTCCATATATTATGCATATGAAATATAAAAACATTGATGACATATTTGGGGCCCCAAAAATTCAGAGGAGTCTTACCACACAGGGCTGTAGTTGCCAAAGTTGCGTCTCAAGAGCTTTTTCCTGGCCTCGTCTCAAAGGACATCTTTCAGACTTACCCTCCCCTGCTAACACTCACCCTTCCCATGCTAGCAATGTATTTGACAACACCAGCTTGATCTCCACCTGGCTGCCATCTCCTCCACACATCTGATCCTGCCCCGAACTCTATCCCTCTTGAAATAAATATGGGCACCACCCTGCAGACCAAGTGACCTGGAAACACTGCACAGAGATATATGAGCAATGGAGCAACTGTGCCAAAGGAAACTCACAAATCACACACTCTGGGCAATGTGACAACTGGCAGAAAGACAAAATAAAATGACTGCCTCTGTACCTTTCACAGACTCCCTCAGCCGACACCACTACAGTCTGCTGCTGAAGCATGTCTGCAGCAGCTAAACCTGCTGTTTCTCTAACAAACCTCTTGCTGCAGTCCTTCAAAGCAGAAGGAACTGGGGCAGCCAAGGTTGGGATGGTGCTGGAAGCCAAGACGGTCATTTCCTACCAGCTCAACAAACACCCAAGGACAGAGAAGAAGCAGCAGGAATGGGGGATAAGGGACAGATTTCAAGTGGTCACCCTGTAGTCACCTACCAGGCCAGGCCCTTCTAGCAGTACAGCACGTTTAGACAGGAAGCAATCACTGCAGCTCCTGAAATAAAGACACAAACTCTCAGGCACTGCAGCTGATGCCCCCATCATTCAAGTTGTCACAAACCACAGATGCCAACAGTATGATTTCTGCTGTCAATATCAATTTGGAAAGTACCATCGATAACGTGCCAGTACGGTTCAATAACGTTTGACTCTAGGGACTGAGCCTGCACTGAAATCCTTGCTTTTTTTTTTCCCCACTTGTTTTAAGCACTTTTCCAATAGACTCTATCTCTAGGTATGGGCTAGGCAAGCACGGTGGGCATCTGTGTCACATTAGCTCAGTGTGTCTTTGCTTTGGTGGGTTAGCAAAGAAGACTTTTTGTTGCTATAAGCATCTTCCTCTCTGTGAGTGGTCAGCAGGGGCCACAGAATTCTTTTTGGATGGATACACGTCTCATGGAGATGCCAAAGGGAAGGGAAGAAGTCTGACACAAAAAGCTCAATTTAGACCCTATCAGGACCTCAGTGCAGACTCAGAACCTAGCTAGGACTTGGTTTTGTGAGAAATACCTGTTTTTCAAGATGCAGACACCTAGAAGATTCCCTTCTTCACTCTCAACCTGAAAACAGAGATGGAGCAGTTAAGGGGGAAGAGAAAGGCCTTTAAAATCACAAGCTGTGTAAAAAGTTTCTTTGCAAATAACAGTTTAACACTAAGAAGTTAGGCTAAAACGGTTGCAAAGTCTAAAATTAGTTACATTTTCAACTAAGAGCATATGCTTTTATTGTCTCTGATCTCAAATATAATCCCAGGAGGCTGTGAAAAGCATGTAAATTACGGAAAGCTAATTTGCTCCAACAGCGACACCTCCCATGTAGTTGGGAGGTCTATTAGACCCAGTGTACTCTCCATTATTTGCATATTAATAGCACCTGCTGAAATACTTTGGGATTTACTTTTCCAGCCAGCAGAGGGACAAAACAACCCCCCAAAAATGATATAAAATTCCCCTTTTTCCTAGAGATTTGATGCACAATAAACTCCTTCGGCAGGGCTAAGAATGCCAAAGTAGCGGGAGGCGATGGGGTAGGATTGCAGATGCCATCTGTGATTTGCAGAGGAACTGGACTGCAAGTTTGCTTAAAGAAAAAGAGAAGGATAAATAAAATCCTAACCCAAAAAAGCAAACAACAAAAAAAGCTCTCTCTGGAAAGTGCTGGGTAATTTGAAATCACTCACTTGGCTCCAGTCTGAAGAATGGAAAAGTTTAACTAAAGAAATCCAGACACTGCAGCAAGGATAAAAAAAACACACAACAAAAAACCCCCCTCCACATCCACAACCAGGGAAAGCAGAACCCCCCAAAGTGGACCTTGATTAAAAATCTACAAACCCTCAGGCTTTGATATTAGCCAGGCCTGCAAGGCCTTGTCTCCTGCACATAAAACAAAAGCTAAATTAAAACCAGCTACAGCCTGAGATTTACTTAAGAAGCCAACTTCCAATCTCTGCTTCTGACCACTGCTTCCCCTCCTGGCCCCCTAACTAGAAAAAAAAGCCCCTTGTATATATTCCTATAGCTCATCTTCTTCAGGGTGAGGGTGAAAGCAGCTTCCTTTCCACGGTAGCAAATGGAAAAAGCTCACTTTTCAGTGCAAAGCTGAGCCAGACCCCGCAGGCTGGACGTTTAACACGTGCCTCTCTCTGCAGAGTGGATTTGGGAAGCTGACCAGGGAGGCCAGGGCATTCCTCAGCATCTCTCTTTCCAATCGGTATTCCTACAGAAGCACCAGCCGTGCTCCTTTCAGGAGCTACAAGGGGCCCCTATTTCTCCCTGCTTTTTCAACCCTTTGCTTTAATTCTGATGGTGCACCCTTTTAGAACAGGCACTGAAAGGCCCACTAGAGTTACTTACTGCTGGTGTGCTGGGTTTCTGTACCATTTTAACTACCTTCACATTCCCAAGCAAAGGATGCAATTGACTGTAAGTTAAAATGACTGAATTGCTCTCCACGTATTAAAAAAGTAGTGAAAGAGCATTTTGTGTAGGACAGTGAAGCACAGAATAGTGATGTGTTGAGCAGCCTGGCCAGTGCTCTGCTGGGAGGGTGAATCCAGAGCCTGTCCTGAGCAAGGGCAGCTTTGAGCCTGGTGAAACCCTGTGGCCACCTTCCCATGCAGCAGCAGAGCCTCCAGCTTCATCCCATTGCATTGTGTGACTCCAGTGTGAGAGGTGGAGAAAAGAAGGGGTATTATTGGGAAATATATTATTATTGGCCTCTTCTCTCTTCACCAGAGAACTCAATTTGTCTTTCAGCTTTGAACAGCCAAATGAGACCTATGAAAAACTTGGTCAGTGTCAAGTATAATTACTGAAGGAGGCAATCAAACCTTACAGCAATGGGGACCCCTGAATGCTCTAGACAGGCAACTCCCACCATGGCTGTCAACAAATGCTAATTCTCATTAATGTGTATGGAACTCTTAAGTGCTGCAACAGTGGTAGCTATTAGTATTAGCTGGTAGCTAATTAGTAATAAGCAGCAGAACTAGTTAAAGTTGCAGCATGGCAAGCGGATGCAGATTGGAGGACTCGGCTCTGAGCTTCTGGACACTGTTGGTGATAACTGTAAGCATATTTTTGCCTAGTCAAGAACCTCTAAATGGCTGGAAGGGAAAGGAGTTACCAGAAAGGTTCCTGCGAGGATTCAGTGGTTCAGGGCACTGAGAAGCAAAGCTCTCTCTTTATGTTTAATATAGCAACTCAAAACTGTTAAAACCTGAGTGTTGCTATCATTCTGACAGGTTCAGTGCCCTATGAAAATGGGCTTGCACCCCATTTCCAGAAGAAGAGGGGAGGCTCCTTCTCTAAATTTTCTATGTCCAGCAATCAATTACCTGTTGTGGGCTGGTCACAGATGCTTCAGGGATGACCAGAGCAGGCACAATGCCTGGGTAGGGGAAGTGTCTTCACCAATAGAGAGAAAACTCAGCTCCAACAAACAGGACTTGGTAACCCAAAGCATCTGCCACAGCACAGCCTTTCCTGCTGGCATGCTGTGTCTCAGAGAGATAAAGGCACAAAGAGGCATTCAGAGGAACCTGTCCTCTTACATGCATCCTGCCCTGGGGCATAGCATGGCAGGGAGATACCTACTTTTACTGCTTGCCCTGCACGTGGCTAAAGAGTGCCCCAGAATTCATGCAAAGTGTTCTTCCCGTCACAGAGTGCCATGTATTTGTAATGACAGCAATAAAAATAACAATAAAAACCCACCCTGAAAAGCAAAACCCAGGCCATTACCTATTATACCAAATTGAATTGGATGTTCCTTACCTGAAATTTCATGAGCAATTAGCAAACGGAATTATCCACAAATGCATGCATGCCCTATTATCCTTGCAGTGATTTCAGCAGCCACAACATTCCAAGCCTGCAGTTTGCCTCCAAACCCCAGCTTTCTCTTCTTTCTTATTTTTAACATGAAGTTCACGGCAGCCAGTGTTTTACCACCTGCATGCTGGGGGAGAAAAGAAAGCAAGGGGGAGAGGATCAATATATACAGTATGTTTATATTCAGTGAGAGCTTGTTGCAGTGGTGAGCTGTGATGTGTGAGTTTGCATTGTCTGCGAAAGGAGCCTTAGTGGCACTGCAGCTGGAAAAATAAGGGAAGAACAGGGACCGTCTTTGGTGACCAACTTTCATCTGGTGAGTTACAATTATATGGTAGGAAATGATACCTTAGACCACAACCAATTTGTGAATCCCAGGAAAGGCAGAAAACTGATTCTTCATCAGGGCTGCAGAACCTGATCTATAAAAATTTGGGCCTCAGCAGGAGGTTGTGTCTAAGTGTGATTTGCATTTCAATGCTTAGTCCACCACAACCTTTAAATCTTCCCGCAGCACTCTCACAATGGCAATTTTTGTTCTCAGTGTGCTCAAAATAACATATTAAAAACTAAAAAATCCTGGTACAATGGAAGTCAGCTGTTAATGGGAAAGAATGCGCCATTTGTGCTCAAATTGTTTCACAAAACACCATTACATCAGAGCCTTTCATCATTTTAGGGGGGATCGAGTCCCCTGACTCCATCTTCAGGGACTTCATGTGGTGCTCGTCACTATCATTCCACTTGCACAAACACCCCAGCCCTTTCAACTTTTATCTGTCCAGAACCCACAATATGTTTGCTACATTATCTAGTTTCTGTAATTAACTTTTCTGTAGGAAGAATTCACAACAAATAAAAGCCATTTCCCTGGAAAAAAAAAACCCACAAGCTTGTGAGTGATGGTTAAGGGAATTTCAGGCAGGTCCCTTTTACAGGAGGGGCAGCAGCTCTGCCATCCTTCCCGCTGACTGATGGCACAGCTCCAGCTGATCCTACATAGAGCAGATACCAGCGCTGGCAATGATGATGCTCACGTTTCCCCCCCCCCCCCCAAACCTTTCTGGTCAGAAGATGAACCCCGATATGTGCTGGGGATGAATTATTCATAGGAACAGGAGGGTTTCCCTGTGCTGCCGCTGAATCAAGGAGGTGAATTTGCAGAGAGGTAAAATCTGCTCCTAACTCCTTTAGCCAAGGAAATGTTCCACGTCGATTGCTCACAGCCTCTTAACCCTGTGTCAACAAAGACAGGTCTTCATGCCCTTCCTGTGTGTTTGTGAAGCCAACTGAGCCAAACTCTTGGAGAGGAAGCCAGTGTGCAGAGCTGTCCATGGGCCATAGAAGATGGTAATTAATGTTCTGGCAGAGCTCAGATGCCTCTCCTTGCTGCATATGGAGCCAGGTTTTGTCCTGAGGAGCTGCACGGAGCCATAAATTCAAATTTACATTTATTTTGGCAATTTGATACCTGTTTTCCAATGTGTAGGATTTTATTGCCACTTACTCAGATATGGCTAAAGTTAGCAAGCCGTTCCAAGGACAAGTTCTCCAGCTGATTGAATTTCCAGGGCTCCAGACCTCAAAGCCCAAGTAAAGGGTGCAGGAGTATGTCTACCAGCAATAGAAGAACATCAAATACATATCCCAAATGTGCCTCTTTTTGCCTTTGCTGTTACTGGAGTTGACAGGAACATTCTACTGACTTCAGCAGATACAGTCCTAATGAAGGATGTTTTTCCTATTCACTCATAAAGGCACTTTCATTCCTTCACTCTCATTTGCCATGTTGGAACCCAGAGATTTGTTTTATTGCACAGTGATACATGCTGGCATTTGCAAGACTGCAGCACTTCCACTGTGAACTTTCATCCAAGCTGCTCTCCTATGACGAATGGAAAGAAATCCCCACAATGAAGGTTACGGCTCTTCTTGAACTGCACTGAGTGAAGGGTGTTGTTCCATTAGGAAGAGGCCATGCTTTGGAGAAGTTATTCCCATATTTGAGAACCTGTGCTTAGAGACATTTATGGGTGGCTGATTCTACCATATAACAAACACTGACTCTCTGAGATTTCTGACCTGGGGCATCCCAAACAACCACTTACTTTTCAACATTTCCCTTCACTCCGGTGTCTTAGAGCCTGATCCGAGTATTTCGGACTGAAAAAGAAGTCTGGTCCTGAAATTCCTGCTATAAATAAACAGGTAAAAATCTTCCTACAAATGCAGGATGAGTAAGTTTCCTTTCCTTTGAGGATGCTTCCTTGTTAAGAGCACAGCAAGCAGTCAGAAGTACAGATCTTACCAACTGCTCTTCAGCTTAACATCTCTGGCATTCAAAACATACAACTTCTGTGTTTGTACTACATTTCCCTAACAGCTTACATCGAGGCCAAACAGACAGCATTCTGCAAAGGTCTTCTAAAATAAGCTTATTTAAAAGAGCAAGGTCAATGCCCAACAGATGTCAGATTCTGTGTGTAGAAATCAAAGAGTTAGGAGCAAATGGAATATGTCAGAGCTCATTGGTTTTCCATGCCAGGCTCTTTTACCAAGTTCACATTTCTGCTGCCAAAACCAGTAACAATCCCGTCGTATGGACTTCAGCTTTGGAAAAGTGTCTGTACATAAGCTACTTAGCTCCATAAATAAAACTAGCACACAGATAAATGTGTTTATCTGGACATGCTATTTATTGTCTCCATAACTGTATTTTTCCTTTAATGGGACACATGCTGGTTTCATGATTCAGCCTTAGGCTCTATTAAAATCAGATTAAAAGCATTAGTAATGTAGTTAATTCCATTCATAATATGCCCATCAACAGAAAAGAGAACATTAATATATATATATACACATATAGGATTTAAGATATTTTAAAATCATTCTGCTCCATTTTGATCTCTGCAAAAAAGCTCTTTTTTAAATCAGAAAGGAAAACTTTTCTCTCTGTTCAGAGAAAGTAACTCTGCCATGTCTTTTAAACCGCAGCTTTCAGAATGATATTTGTGATTTCAATTAAAACATGCTATTGTCACTTTAGCCTCCCTCTTTGGTATTTTAAATTGATCCTAATGGCTTTGCCTTAAGTGATGTGTGTCCCATAGTGAATCCCTGTCACTTACAGCACCTCCCGCTATTGCCCTCCCGAATAATCGCTACCAGATAATCACTTCTTCCCCCTTCTCCCAACGTTATTGCTTGCTTCCCCTCTGACTTTGCATGCTGGTACAGTCTGCAAAGTATTTGCTCTTTAACATCTTTAACATATGGCTTGTTGCTCTGGCACACCACAGTCAGGGATTTAAAAGAAGGATAAAAGCTGCATGAAAACGGCCAAACTGATGGCTCTACAGGTAGGCTCGTATCTCTCCATGGCTGTTTTCCAGACTGCAAACTGGAGAGTGAGGAAATGAAGAGCAAGAGGGAATGAGTGGGTTGCGATTAAAATTTCTTTGGCAACATACTCACAGTTTAGGGCCTGGTAGGTGCTTCTGCAGCCCAGGTCCACTTGCTGCGCGCTGCTTTCCTACAGAGCCTTGCGAGATGGAGGCTGACATGAACCTGTTTAGGAAAGAAGAAGTTCCACTGGAGGCTTCCCACTGAAAAGAGCAGAGCCCTGAAAGGCTTTGGCTGAAAGCTAACACCAGAGCTGCCCTCTGCCCCCTATATCATCCTGTCCTTTAACATCGCATCACTCACACGCCACGGGATGCATACGAGGATGCACAGGGAACCACAACCTTTCCCCTTCTGAGGGGAGGATCCTTTCTCCTTTGCCTTTCACGGATCTCATTATTAATTGAAGAATCATTTAGTTTGCATAATTGTCCTCTGCCATACATAATTCCACCCTTTCTCTTTAAATTGGCTGATTAAACTAAATACAGCCTTTTGTTTTTGTGGCTCCATCTATCAAAGCTTCTAGATGGACAGTCAGTGTGATGTGAATTAAAAAAAAACCAAACTAATAATATTGGGAAGCATCTTTTTAGGTACATTCATGAGATCTACCACCAGGTGACTCCATTCTAAAATATCTGTATTTTCATAAAACAAAATGCTTTCTTTCCTACACCCTGAACATCACCACAATGCCCCCTCCATAAGATACAGCACTCTGAGAAAATAGTGTTAAATAAATAGCACTTTTACTTAAGATATGAACTATTTCTTTTGGAATAGCACATGAAATCGTATTAGAGAGCTTCCAGAACTGCCTGATCTGTCTCTGTCTAATCAGACCTGATTAATTCAAATCAAATTGCAAACCTCAGTTTTATTTTGCTTTAAAAACTCCAGATCAACAACAAATCAGCTGTATGAAGGTATCACAGAGGCAGTTAACACAGAAAGCCTACAGACACGGAGTGTCACTGAGTCAAATGGATATGATTAAACATTTGGAACCATCTATTAATATTTTATATATTCAAATATATACAGAGCAGACAGGACCAGTTAGAGGGATGCTCTTCACTGGGGACTTTATTACATTTATGCCTAAGAAGAGGAGATCCAGCTCAGGTGTCAAAGGGGGTTTCTTCAAAATAGGAGAATTATTAACAAATCATAGGGTTATGGGGAGGGTTTGTAACACAGAACTGCACTAAACCATGCAGCGATCTACACAGACAATCAAACTCCCTGTGCGACACCGAGCATAGCACAATGCAGAAAATAAGATACAACAATCTCACAAATGCAAGATTGCAAATGCAAAAGAATCAGCCCTGCAAGGAGTATATCAGAGATACACTGAGCCATTGTTTGTGTGGAATGTGTACTTGGATGGGCTCTCAGACCTGACCAGTTTAATCCACATCAGACCAGGGAGACATAGGGTCAGGAGGCTGAATGTGGATTTGGGCGCTTGGCACAGCTGTTTTCCTTAGGTGCAATACACTTGTCACTAGTGGTGGCACTTTGCATTTGCTGTATGGCAGCATATGTGCTTGCCACATTTGGGACCCATTATATCTCTTTCCCCTCCAGCCACTTCCCTTCCCTTCTTGTTAGCTGCATGTCCATATATTCTTCCATCCGTTATTGCTACATTGCAAGGCCAGCTCTTTGCCCCCTCTGCTTTGCTCCACTGACTAGATACACTGCATGGGCTCTTCACAAGCTTCCCATGTAACAGCCATCTGTAGATGGGGCAGAATTTTCATATATATTAACAAATATACATATATATATGCACATCTATATGTATATACATTCAGACATGCTCTGCAAGAAATCATATCTATTCCATCACCAAAACACTTACTTGTACACAAATATTGCTGCTACCAGGGAGAGCATACATTGACAAAGAGAAGTTGAAGAACAGCCAAGGAAACCCTCCAAAGCACAGTGTAAACCCAAAGTAAAGCCTAAGGTGTAAAAAAGGGAGAGAGATGGGCTGTATGTTCACATTTCAGCCCCTTCAATTAAAACCATAGTTCCTGCAATAGCACAGACTAATTAATACATGCTGATATATTGGCTTGCAGATAAACGAGTGTACGACTCCATGTCCAGAAGAGGTAGTTAAATGTTTAGGCTTGCTTTGTACACAGCTGGATGGACAGGACTGACTGCAGGACTCAGATTTGCTCAGTGTTGGGTCACTGGATAAGACAACAACGGTTAAGAAGGAATTTGGTTGATGTCTCATTTCAGGGGCTGTACTGGCAGCTCCTAACACCAAATACACAGTGTTTCCTACCAGGATGCTGGGACACTGCTTCAGGGGGAAAAGTCTCTGGTCTGGAGGGACAAGCTTGCCCAGGCAAGTTCTCAGCTAAGCAGTGCCCAGCCCAGCAGAGGCTCTTTCTCAGGCTCCCTGGAGGTGTGGGTGTGAAGGCAATAAAGGAACACTGAGCTCCACATAAAAGAGCTTTGTGCTCTTTTAAAGATCAACATTAAAAATGCAGCAGCCTCTGATTCACATTTTCATAACTATCACTATATCCTCGATGATCGGCGTTCAGATAGCGCAGGTCTCCTTCTCATCCCCCTCCAAACCAGAGCAACCCAGGGGCTGGTTGCTCCTCACCTCGTTCAGCAACAGGTCAGGCCAGCAAAATCCCTTGCTTACTTTCAGGCTCCCTAAGTATCAGTAGTGGAGTGCAAATCGCCTCTGGCTTTCTCTGCAGCCCCCATTACATCAGTGAACAGCATTACATCAAAAATTGATGCTGACAACTAAATCCTTTCATAAGTCATGATGCTGTCGGACATGTCCCTCCACTCTCCCACCCTCTTTTACACACATAGAGGGAGAAGGCTTGGGAGGAAGGCCAAAATGTTGGTCTCTTTGAAGCAACTATTTGTGAACCAGCATGGAAATCAGTTTGCTCACTTTGGATGCACAGATTAGAGGCAGCTGACTGCAGAGAAAGAGACCATCTGCAGATTAGCAAGAGACAGGGCTTCTGTTGGTACCTGCTGCTGCAGAGGGGGAGGTCACCCTACCTCTAACACAAGTGACATGAAGGAAAATTCATAAGTGGGTTAGAAAAGGTGAGAGGCTGGAAAATGCCTGTCTGTTTTAATGTAAATAGTTACAATATGCACATACATTTCATGCCATCTCACTGCCCTTACAAATGTCAGGAATGTTAAGTAGGTAGGAGGCCCCTCTAAGCACTGAGATGTTGATGCTGAGCTCTCCTCTCTGTGCTTTGCACATGTGATGCAACAGAAAGGTTCTGTGTTTTGGGTGAATCCTGCTCAGTAGCTCCCCATCCATGTCATTAATATACCTTCCAGTATCTGAAGTGGGCTACAAGGACGCTGGAGAGGCACTCTTCATTAGGGATTGTAGTGACAGGACAAGGGCGAATGGGTTTAAACTTAAACAGGTGAAGTTTAGGTTAGGTATAAGGAAGAAGCTCTTTATTGTGAATGTGGTGAGGCACTGGAATGGGTTGCCCAGGGAAGTTGTGAACGCTCCATCCCTGGCAGTGTTCAAGGCCAGGCTGGACAAGAGCCTTGGGTGACATGGTTTAGTGTGAGATGTCCCTGCCCATGACAGGGAGGTTGGAACTGGATGATCTTAAGGTCCTTCCTTTCTAACCTTAACTGTTCTATGATTCTATGATTAAGTACCCCTTCAGGAACCAAACTTTGCAAACTCCTTGCTGTGGAGCTTGGTACTAAAGCCACAACCTAGGATGTGGGTGGAGGTTTTATCAGCCGGAGAAAGCACTTGTAGTACGTGAATGGCCAACTCAACTGCTTGGAGAAAGGAGTCGATTCAGGCTGCCAATATTGGCTCTCGCACAGATAATAAACCTGACTGGCCTTTCTCCTGACATCACACTTCAATCAAGAACTTGCTCACAAAATGTCACTTTCAAAGTTGCAGCTTTAAAAAAAAAAAAAAGAAAAGAAAAGAAGAAAAAGTCTTTATAAAAAATTCATGGACACAATGATCTGATAATGCAGCTTTCTGATACCAGCAGATGTTTTGTCTAACATGTTCCCTGAAGCTGTACTCTGTGCCTTCATATCTTTCATTTCCAGTTGCTATCTGCTGACTGTGGGATGTCATGTACGTACCCTATAGCGATGCACAGCAATTCGCATCTAACACCGCCGTGCGTAATGAGCTTCACAAGATGCTTGTCGCAATAACTCCGCACTTCCCCAACCATATGGAACACAACACTCCAAAGCCCACAGACACTTTTTTTTATTACAGTTCAGATCCTTAAAACATAATCTGTGTGATGTCTAGTGAATGTACGTGAAGAGCTGCTGAAAACAAAGTTAACACTTGTTCACATCATCTGTTACAAATGTCCAATTTGGGACAATAAATTTCCTCGGAACCTGTTCTTTTGCTGACTCGTTGCTTTATCTTTTTTCTCTTTCTCTCACGTCGTTTTTTTTATGAACTATGCATATGTATTAAATGGGATTTGTTGTCCCTAGATACCAATTTGCATAAAGTGCAAGCCATCATTGGTTGGAGAGAAGCAAATTACTTCTCCAGCAAGATCACACTTCTTTTTTTTTTTTTTTCCCCTTTTTCCTTTTTTTTTTCTTTTAATTTTAACAAACCGCAGGCAGAGGCTGTTAACAGCACTTAGCCAGATATGCAAAGTATCCTTGTTCTCCAAAGCAGCTTGATCAATGAGCAAAGAAAGAAGGAAGAAGAAAGGGAAGTGAAGTACAATGCAGAAGTGACCCGCGACTGAGCGGCTAACCCAGCCATTCACCTGGAAGGCAAGCTGCCTGGCTCTCAGTTAAAGATACAAGCCAAGTATGGCTTAGCACTCAGGACACAATGCAAACCAGCTTGGAATCACCATCCGCTTTTCCAAGTACCCTCAGTGTGTTTCTAGAAGTCCCTGGTGTGCTTGGCACTTTTAGGTGTTGATCAGCTTGCAGAAGCCTTGCCACACATTCACTCAAGCTGGGCACCTTCTGAAGAACTGTGTAAGTATTGGCTTGAAATATATCATATAGTCACAGAATGGTTTGGGTTGGAAAGGACCTTAAGATTATCCAGTTCCAACCCCCTGCCATGGGCAGGGATGCCACACACTAAACCATGTCACCCAAGACTCCATCCTCTGCCCTGCCCTATCTAACCACCCCTCTAGCTCCAGAGGTGCTCTGCAGGATGGTATCTCCCACCCTAGCAGGCTTTGGACAATTGCATTGTGCATACCTGTAGCATGTTGGCAAGAGCCTCGGCTATGGTGACATGACAGATTCCCAGGGTCAGAGCTAGCCCTGTAGGAGCCCTCTGCTTCTGAGGAGGAGGAGAGACAGAGGAAGGGGCATTACAATGACAGGATTTTACAGATCCTTAAAGAAACAGTTATCTAAGCAAACCTGCGATGCACGGGATGATGTACAAACTCACCAGCCCAGTACTAAAAGGATTTGCAAGCCTCAGTTACAAAGTGTGGGGTATTAAATTCACTAAAGGAAACAAATTAGCAAGGATGCTGAATCACAGAATCAACGAGACTGGAAAAGACCTTCAAGATCATCAAGTCCAACCATTACCCCAGCACTGCCAAGGCCACCACTAATCCATGGCACTGAGGGTCTCATCTCCAAGGGTTTTGAACAGTTCCAGGGATGGCGGTTCCACCACTGCACTGGGAAAGTTTCCAACTAGGTCTGAACTTCCTAAGAATTTAATGCTGGGACACTGCTAGGGGTGTTGGGGAGAAGGGATTCCCTCTAAACATACTCTTATTCTGTTGAGCTGCCTAAAAATAACAACAGGATCTGTGTCTAACTAAGTGTTCACTCAGAGTTTGATCCCAAATCCATTAATATCGTGTGCTTGGATTATTTTACCTCTGAATGTAATGGACTTTTTAATGGATACTCTTTTAAGAATGGATCCTGAGATCACATAGAACATTAGTAATTGATTACAGTCATAGGACAATTAATCTGGGCAACTGCGACAACTAGATGCTGAAATTCCTTTCAGGGAGCTGTGGCTGCTAAAAGAACACGCAAGGACCCAGGGTGTGTAAATTCTTAGGAGAGAGTCTGCATTTCCTTGTTACCTTTAGCATCTATCCAAGGATACACAAATACCCACAGATTTTATGTTGTGTGATGATTTGAAGGCGGAAAAAATAGTTTCCGTCTGCAGAAATATTGGCAACTTCTTGTGGCTTTTGCAAAAAGGCAAAAAATCCCACAATTTCCCACATCTCCACTGCTTTGTTTTTGTATTTATGTTTGCCACATTTCAAAGGAATAAAATAGCACGTAAAAGAAGATCCTCACTGCCAAATGATCACAAAAAGCACAAGAAGTCATGCAAAGGTTACGAAAAAAACTCACAAGAGGGAAATAGGTGCTGGCTTTGAAAATGGGGCTCTTTCATAACCAAGGGTACTGTCCACTGTTAACCAACAGAACCACTTTGGGACCAGGTGAAATCGTGTCTGGGACACTTACCCTTAGATGGATAGCAGCACATGGACCTTGTCTCTCTGAATTGCTGTCTCAAGGGGCAGGAAGGATCAACAACTTCCTCTCGCTTGACAGCCCTGGCAGGCTCGAGTGGCAGTTCCAAAGGCAGTGCCTTGGTGCCTCTGTGCAGGTGCATCTGCAGCCTCAGATCTCTGGAGACAGCCCTAGCCAAAGAAATAGGTTGCCAAAGCTTAGCCAAACATAGCATATGAGACCCAACTGTACAGTAGGCACTAGATAACATGCAATCACGGCCTCCTACTGCAGCAAATTCTACATAAACCCAGGCCTTTGAAAAAGAAGGAGTAAAAAAAAAATGTGTTTTTCTCATTCCTTATCTGTACCTACCCCATTTCACCTAAGGCTGGCTATTAGCTCAGCTGGTGATGTCACTTACTTCACTGGAACCTGTTATCATCCAAGATTTCACATAGGATTTTCTGTTTTGTTAGCTGTGTGCTTTGTGCAATGTTGTATTCCATTCCAATAGATAAAGGGTTAAGTAATTCCCGTCTTACCCATATAGGCAAAGTTCTACTCCCTGTGGGTTGCTGCCTTCCCATTGGCTACAGGGATGACCTTGGAAACAGACAAAAATGATGCATTGTTGCAATAAATATTATAGCTTGCACCTGGTTCGAATTAGATCTGCCAAACAATTGCACAGATAGTGAAAAGAGAAATGTGTTGGCTCCTAATCGGGTGTTCATTGCTGTTTGATCTGGATTATTCAGCCCTGCACATGACCTCGCCTTCCTGGTTCTTGTTTTTCTTTTTGGACTTGCAGAAAGGGATGGATTGAAAAGAGTCTGCTCAAAGAGGAACAACTCTGCCTAAAAGGACCTGAAAATGGATGGGTTTACACCAAGACTTACAGTAGCTCATCATAGAATGACAGAAACAAAGGATCAATGAGGTTGGAAAAGACCTTTAAGCTCATCAGGTCCAACCATTGCCCAGCACTGCCAAGGCCACCACTAACCCATGGCACTGAGGGCCTCCTCTCCACGGGGTGTGAACACTTGCTGGGACGGCGACTGCAGCCCTGCCCTGGGCAGCCTGTTCCAATGCCTGAGCACCCTCTGGGGCAGGAATTGTTCCTCAGCTCCATCTAAACCTGCCCTGGTGCAGCTTGAGGCCGTTTCCTCTTGTCCTATCACTTGTTACTAGGCAGGATACTTCAGAAATCTCCATTATGGCTTCTTGGTTTCATAGGTCTGTAGTGGTCTTCTCCTTTTCCTTCACTTCCTCTCTCCTTCTCTCTTTTAACTTCAGAGCTTAAACCACTCTCTAGCTATTAGCAATCAGGATCAGGCTGACTGGGAAGCTGGACTTCAACATGTCGGGGAAATAGTTCAGGAAGGATTTTGCTGATAACATTCACCAAATGGAGCAGTGATTGCCTTTGCAGCTTAGCGTGATGAAACCTTGGGAAGATTCTGGCAGTTGCTGCCTACCAGATTTTATAGACCAGTCATAGTTTGCAGCTCAGCATCATGCTTTTCACTCACTATGTTGATTCTCAAGTTCATTTCCCACTGAAAGTGCTTCTTGGTGAACGAACATTTAGTTTCTTGCATATCCAGCCACCCAGGCTGTGCACAGTTCACACAGATTTACTGCCTGCTCTGTGATCTAGCTCTATGGACAAATGCAAACAAATGTAACAAATGTTAACAATGTTCTCTTTAAAATGAGAAGTAAAGAAACAAGGCATTACTATTATCTCCATTTTCTAAATGGGGACGGGAAGCCACAGCTCAGCCAACACTTTCAGCTGAAGCAGCCCAGTTCCTCTGGTCCCTACTGGCTCCCTTTACTCACGCTGGGATGAGCATTGTGCATCTGTATTTTGGAACTGATTGAGGATCTTCTCTGTCTGAAAACCGATCCAGGGAGGAACAAAAAGAGTTTTCCTTTCAGCCACACCAACTTTCTGGCTTTGGTTTGCACATAGCTTGGCAGGACAGGACTGAGCAGCCAGGACAGAGGGAGTGCATGGCAGTGTGGATGGAGTTACATGAAATCACAGAAGAAACATGTAGGGATATCAAGAAGACGGTGTAAATCTCTGCAATCCACAGATGGCTTTTCTCTGTTTATGTCACCAACCTCACAATCTAGCTAGTAGTTGTACCAGTCCTCTGAGCCACCCGAAGTTTCTTTTGTATAGACAATACATCTCAGAAGTATTATGTCTGGTGGAATTAAATGACCCTCTGCTCTGTCAAAAATTAATTATTTGGGGGTGGAGGTTGCAAGGGGATTATTTCAGTAGCCATTCTAATGAAGGTAGGATCAGACAGGTTAAAAATAAGCCTAGACACAAAGAAGATATGGTAAGGGAATAGCTTAGCCTTTGCAGAATGATGAAGCCCTGCATCAGTATTATTGCAAGAGTGCTGTTCAGGAGGAGAGGCAGAACGACAGAGATATTTGCAGGGTTAACACATCTTCCTCTGTCTGATGCACTCCCTCTTTCCCACTTTTCCCTTGATGGCAGGTAATAAAATGCCTGCTGGTACCCCCCATGACTGGAGGTACCCAGAGTGGTTCAGCCCATCGTGAGTGCTGTGCCAATCATTTAACAATTCCCACAGCTGCCTTTGTGAGAAGCCTCTCTCTTAAGCCTCTGGTTTAAGAATTTAGAGTAATCATGTAAAAATGATACCCCTGTGCTCTATGATCCGCTGAATCTCACTAATGCCGGATCCCAGAAGAGGGCTTATTAATGAAAAGATGCAATGCCTCTCTCTCCGCTCATGTTTCACATGAATATCTGTCATGGATTCGGCAGTAAACCTTACTGCTGATAAAGTAAGTATAATGAACCTCCGTGCTCCACGAGAATGGAATCTTGGACTGATGAAGTAGTTACCTGCTCTACTTTCCAGCACAATGGCAGGCTTGAGATGTAAAGGGAGAAGTACTCGGCCGCTATGGGACTGGCGGCGCAGTATCGCATCCTCCTAAATGTTGGGTCTGATTTGCTAGCGGTGCCTTTGGCTGTGTGAAAAGATCAAGAGTTTGGAAAGGAGCAGTTTGTAATTAGCTGAGAGAAATGAAATTATGCTTTCGTGTAAATCACTGAGTCAACAGAGGAAAGGAGGGTTTTTAAAGGGACAGCAACACCTTGAGGCTACTCTGTGTCCTTTCAACATTACGCAGTGGGCAGAACCTCAGTCAGTTCTTGCCAGCTGGCTAGCTGTTCAGAAAGGATGAATACCGAGTGTTCTGCACACAGCGGGATCCTGCTGCTTCCAGCCCCTGACATCTAACCAATTGTCAAGAGGGCACTGAAAATACTTTCGAGTAGTGCGTCTGTCCTGAAGCAGACTTTACCATCAAGAGGTTCAAATTGTTATAAATCCTTTTGCTGTAGCTGCTCAAAACCAACCAAACCAAGAAAAACCCCACACTAACAAGAAGTAAGGGTGATTCCATGTATATCCTTGGGAAAAGAAAGTGAGTGACTGCCCAGAAAGCACTGTGAGGCTAAGAAAAGGAACAGGTAAAACACTACCTGAAGGGGGCCTGTAAGGATGCTGGGGAGGGACTCTTCATTAGGGACTGTAGTGATAGGACAAGGGTAACAGGTTCAAACTTAAACAGGGGAAGTTTAGATTGGATATAAGGAAGAAGTTCTTTCCTGTGAGGGTGGTGAGGCACTGGAATGGTTTGCCCAAGTATGTTGTGAATGCTCCATCCCTGGCAGTGTTCAAGGCCAGGTTGGACAGAGCCCTGGGGGGTTTAGTGTGAGGTGTCCTTGCCCATGGCAGGGGGTTGGAACTGGGTGATCTTAAGGTGCTTTGCAACCCTAACTATTCTATGATTTTATGATTCTATGATAAAAGGAACACATTCCTTAAGAATTACCCCTAATCTTAGCACCATTAGGATAGTATAGGACAAGGAACAAGAGTCTGGAAGGTGTCACTCTGGAGTACACAGAAATGATCACAGAGACTAACTTTACGTCCAGCAATCAGACTACATCTGCTCAGAGCATCTCTGATACCAGGATCATGACTCGTCTTTACAGAGCCAGCCCCATGTCACCAAATCCAAACTTTCCAAACCTTTGTGAGGCACAAATCTGAATATGGAAAGTTACTGCAGAGATGGCAGCATTGAAGAGTGAATATAATCCCATCTCAAACAGTGGTTATTATCCTCTACAAGTGTAGTCAATAATTTAAACAACCCATGAAAATGTTAGCATCATCCCTTACTTCAAGGGGATTCTCTGGTTTGAAGGAATTCTAACATCCTGAAACTCAGTGGGACCTTAAACCAGGGGCTGCATTTTGTATTAGCAGCTTGGATGTAACTCCTGGTATTATTAATACCTAAATGCCCTATATGTTGTCTTTAGAGAGGAAGGCAGTCACATCACCTTTATATGTGTGCTTTCTTCCCTTTGCTTTTACATTTCTTCAACACGCGGAATGTACTTAACTCACTGCTTATTGAATGAAGGATTAGTATTATTTTCTTTCCTCCAGTGAACTTTGTTTCACTTCATCCTGCATATATTTTGCTAGGCTGTGTTTTCCTGCCAGCACACCACTGTTCAGCAAACTACCATACTTAAGGCCAGCCAGCTAATACAGTGATACCTTTTTTACTCACAAGGAGTGTTTCTGTAATCATGGTTGTGCTTGTGGTATGAATGGCAGCTTCAAAAAGCACAAAATACACTTCCAGAAGCTTTGCTGAGCTGCAACAGAACTAAAGCAGCTTCAAGCTGCCAAGACATTGGAAACACCAAGGGGAAGACTTGAAATGTAGCCTGCTACTTAGCTACTGTGATAGTGTAAATGCTGACCAGGGACTGCAAAGGGAGCTGCTTCCCCATCCTCCCTTTACTGTGCTGCTGTATCTCATGTTGAGCTAGACTGGGAGCACTTGGAAAGATGCCCTGCTTTGGGTCCTGTAAAAATTAGTGTAAAACAAATAGGTAACAAATTTGCAACGGCTCTGTGTAAGGTTTGCACTATTCCCTTTTTGTTGTTAAAGATGGCTTATGTTGCCCAGTAGGAAAGCAAGTAGAAAAGAAGGGTAACGATACAACTCACTATGCTCTTGGAAGAGCAGATGGGAAGCTCCTGCTCACTTCACTGCAGCAACACAGACCTCTTTGGTGGAAGTATTTCCTTTTCCTTGTCCTTAAGTGCTGCTACATAGTTACTCTCTGTTCCCATGCTTATAACCTCACACTAAAACAGAGGAGATTACAAACGGGGCAAAATACCCTAGAGGGTTCCCCTTTATCAGAACCTTCCCTGTCAGTTTGCCTTCTCATTTCACGAGCTCTTGTCTGATTATTAGGGTACTGACAGAATAAAAATAACCTCATATTCCTACATGAATCATAAATAAAACCCTTTTATTTCATCAAAGAGGTTGGCAGGTTTATAGTCCTTTGCAATGCATGCACGATGTGAATGACATACCTTTAATTTTGCTGACAAGCTTGTCGGGGTCCTAATGAAAAAGAGTGAAAAGTGGGTGACTTCTCTAAAGGTTTCGCAGTTGCTTTTTGGTGAGGATATATTTCACCTTGCCACTGTAATCAAGGAGCCAACTGATCTTGGTAATGAACTCTTCAATTACAGTCCTCTTCTAACTCTTCAAGAATGCCTAGGCAACAATACCACAGTGATTATTGCTGATATTACAGATTAAAGCAACCTGGGGGGGAAAAAGCAGGGGAAAAGAGAAAACCTGAGCAGTGTCCTTGCTCGAGCTTCAGGTATCAGGGTGCATCAGCAATGAACCAAAAAGAGTGAACAAATTCCACATTTTGGACAGCTACATTTTATATCGCTCTTGTACACCACATGGTAATAAAATCACTGTTCTGACCTGTACTTTGACATCATGAGCTCTTCCCCATTTGTTCAACTAGCCAGTCTGCTTTTAGAAAGCAGTATCAAGTATGGTAGAGGTTGTCTTGGGACAGCCCCATAAAAAAGGATAGGGCTGAGTATGGTGTCTTTAGCAAGCAAGTTTCGTGATAAAGGCTGCACAAAGAATGGTCCAGGAGAACGGAAAAGGGACACGGTAGAAACAATCAGAAATTCCTATTTCCAGCCTTTCACAGAGTGAAAAGTTTTAACTGCTGCCAAGTGGGAAGCAAACAGTTAAAAATATCTATTTTTAGTAGTGACAAAAGTCTTTTCCCCTTCTTCAGCACATACTTTCTTATTTCTACTTTCATTTTGCTGTCTCCTGTTTTGCTCATGCAAAAGTCATGAATATCACTGAAAACACGAGTTTGCTTTCTGACCACAAACAAATTGTCAAAGCCACAAGTCTTCCCCCTTTCTTAAAAGTCCTGCTTCTTTGGAAGGACTTCACTTCATAATTCGTAAAGAGATTAAGGGAATAGTACTGCTTTATTTGGTATCTTGGAGCTTATCCTTTGTTTCATTGGTGATTACTGTCTTCAGCGATTAAGTTTGGGATTTGACAAGTTACCCCTGCCTGATGGCTGATCTTTTTGGCTTCTTCTTTTGGTTTTCTTTTCTTTGAGGGGGTGGGGGGAGAGCTAGAGGTGGAGCTGCTGAGAGAGACATAGAATCATAGAATGGTTTGGGTTGGCAAGGACCTCAAGATCATCCAGTTCAACCCCCGTGCCATGGGCAGGGACACCTCACACTAAACCATGTCACCCAAGGCTCTGTCCAACCTGGCCTTGAACACTGCCACGGATGGAGCATTCACAACCTCCCTGGGCAACCCATTCCAGTGCCTCACCACCCTCACAGGAAAGAACATCTTCCTTATATCCAATCTAAACTTCCCCTGTTTAAGTTTTAACCCGCTACCCTTGCCCTATCACTACAGTCCCTAATGAAGAGTCTCTCTCCAGCATCCTCCAGCCCCCTTCAGATAATGGAAGCTGCTCCTGAGGTCTCCGTGCAGCTTCTCTTCTCCAGGCTGAACAGCCCCAACTTCTCTCAGCAGGGATTCAGCAGGGGTTGTGTGTACAGGAGTGCACACACAGATGCAGATGGGGCAGAATAAGGGAAAAAAATCACAGACAGTGAATTCCAGATCTCTGTCTTGTCAGGACTTTACAAGATTCCAGAGCTGCACTTTTAATTTTCATTACTTCCCATTTTCCTTTGATAATCTCGGAAGCAGTATCTATTTTTATTAGGAGCTTTTCATCAGACGTGGATATCCTCCTTCCTCGAGGGATTCCCTAGCCACAAAAACATCAGGTTCTGTGAAACATTAGCTAATCCCAGTTACAGTTACTTGACCCCATCAAGCTAAGAAATAAATTTTACTCTTCATGAGAGTCCTACTGTTTACACTCCAGACAAAATACTTAGATCTCCAAGTTTTTGAGAGGAAAAGCATTTTTCACAATGCCAGAACACTGGCCTGAAAGACCTGGGCCATACAAGCCTGAAACTGTTTCTTGTTTCAAGTTAAATACGTTGACAGACTTCCTCTTGACTGCGGCTGACACCGGTGCCTGATTTTCTTGGCGTAAAATCCAAATGGGTAACGGTAGGAGCTGTTACTGGCAACAGCCAGTCTTATACTCTACACATCACTACTTCTTGCCCTCGACCTTCCCCCATGGGGCTGCACACAGAGGGAGATTGCCAAGAATCAAAGCACTTCTCCCTGTTCAGTGCAGACAACACACACTTCAACGGGAGACTTGAAGTTTGGTGAAGCTCTTATAGCAAGTGTTTGCCTGGTGCCTGGCCATGCAAGGCACTGTGGTATGGCTGGGTGAGGGCAGCAGGAGTAGGCAAGCAGGAAGAAGTAGGAACTCCTGAAGAGCAGAGCAAAGCAGCTTTGGGGATGCATTCAAAGCTGAGAGAGAGCAAAACACATGCCCCAGCTGCAAAGGGCCAGAATCTTTCTGAAGCCGTTTTACTCTAACACATTTAACAGTTAGAATCATCCCAGCACATTAGCTTGGTACACTAAAAGTATTCTGTGTCACGCCATGTTTCAAAACATAGCATAGCTTATTTTAAAGGTGAAATGGAATGTGTTTTGTACTTAGTGCCTTCCTTAATCAGCATAATCCCAGTGCTTTGGAAAACAGGGGATCAGGCACTCTGGCAGTAGTGGTGTTACTTGTTCAGCTGTTTGCAGTGAAAGGTCTTGCTAGAGAAGGTTAAGAAAAGCCTCATATACTCCAAAATTATCAGTTTGTTATCACTATTAATAATACTTTATAGTACTTAACATGCTACTTTTAATCTTCAAAGCACTTTGCAAATATTAATTAATCCTCACAATCTGCCTGTGGGGTAAGCAAATGCTGTTGCTCCCAGCAGTCGAGTCACACGGTCAACTGACTTGCCCAAGCCTAGAGGGTCGTGATCGGCCTCTGCACGTCCTGCTTTGGTGCTCAAAACACTTCAACACAGCGTTTCCCTTCTCTTAGATGGATGCAAACGTGCACTGCTTTCATCAGTGTGGTGTTTTCTTACAGCACTGGCTTGAATTGATAGCTGCGACTTCAGCTGCTTGAACAAGGCTGTAGTTTTCTCCCCTCCCACATGTTTCTGCATTGATGCAAGATGTGGACAGTTATCACCTGATAGTTAAAGGACTAAGTGCATGGAGGAGCTCCTAGCTCATATCTGAAACTAGTCCCCAAACTCTGCTTTGCAGTGGAGAATAATATATGGGTCCACAAGTGATCAGAGAGCCACAGCTTAAAGCAGAAGTAGACTTCTTTAATGATTTAAGAGACCACCATCACTTGAGATATAACTATTCCACTGAAAGCAGCCTGCACTGATTAGCCTAATGTTTGGCTTTTTTCACTTGTGGGTTTAGGTTGGTTTATTTTGTTTTCATGCAATTTGCAATGCTTCAAGTGCTAATGAACTAACCAAGGTTTAGGGGAACGAAGGACAGGTCCATGATGTGGTTTCATTTGTCCATGCTTCTTTGAGTTGGTAAATCACACTGCATTGCTTTATTGAGTGTCCCTTTAGGAGTATATTGGAAAAAATTCTATCTGCCACAATTAATACAGTGCCTACTGCATCACGCTGCACAACCCTGGCGTCGGAACTCAGCATTCTCTGGGAATCCTCTGGTCCCACACTGGATGCCAGAAAGGATAGTAGCTGTGACATGTGATACAGCTGCTGATAAATGACGGGAATAATGCAGAACAAAAAGGCTAATGAGTTCTCTCCAACACCACGCTACTTTCATGAAATGAATACGATGATGACCCTATTTGCTACCTTATTTTTTGGCTAGTGAGTTACTTTACCTGCATGTTAGCTTTATCCTGTATGTCTGCACAATGCTATGGAAAGACAGACAAAATTAATGTCAGCATCTCCCTTCACTTTTAAACTATAAAAGAGCCTTTGAAGGTAGAGTAAACCAAAGAGGCCAGTAACTAATTATAATCCATTGTACTGGACTTGAAGGAATACTGAATAGAAGCTATTCCCCATGCGCTTACCAGAGTGCATTGCAAAGACAGTGGTGCCTTTGTGGGAGAGGGAGATCCCTTCACTGGACCAGAGAGAGAAGAAATGGGATTGTTAATGTATGTAAGAGGCAGGAGGATTTCTATGGTACTATTTCATTGCAGAGGCAGAAGGTAGCAGAGCCAATCATGAAAAGCGTAAAGGTGTGAAGGCACAAAGATGGAGAGTTGATTAAAAGCACCATGGGGAGCGTGAGCGAAGAAATCAATGGTAATGATGGAATTATGCCTGAGCGGAACCCAATAGTCTACAGTGTCCTGGTGACTTGGTGCTGGGGATTAAACACTGTGAGGAGCAGAGCTGAGCCTTGTCCAGCCTGTCGGCACTCGGAGATATGCTGATGGAGGGGATGGGTTATGCTACAAAACCAGGTGAGGCCTGTTGAGGAAAGGCTGAGCATCTCTGCACCCAAGAGGGACATGATAGGTGAATCCTGCCCAAGCAGCAGTGGTGATGAGAAAGATGGGAGTCGTGGCTGTCACTCCTGGGTGAGTGGGACAGGGCTCATCTGAGGAAGCAGAAGCATGAAGAAAGAAGAGGTAAAAGATGAGGGAAGGGGCCCTGAGGATGCTCGGTGAGGTTGGAGGTAGCACCTGGCAGGGATGCAGGACAGCAGAGCTGCAGATGCTCACAGCAGTGGGGAGAGATAAGCAGCACTGGTGGCTCTGTGGGGCAGCAAGGCAGGGGCTTGGAGAAGCACAGATCAGAGTGGCTGTGAAAGCACTGCCAGAAAGGCCTGGAGCTGCCTGGAGGGAGGGAAGAGAGGATTGGAGCAGCTGGCAAGATCAATGCGGGTCTGGCTCTAGCTGGGGCAGCCGTGGCTTAGGGCTGTCAGCACTCACTGGGCTTGCCCTGTGCTTACAGCCACTACCATGTTAAGCAGGTTGGTATCAAAAGTACAACAGAAGCTGCCTGAGCAGCAATGCCTCTATGAGTAGTCTTACACAAATACAACTTTAGTTCTCTTCTCCTTTACTGTTTTAGGGATTGCTTTGCATGAGGCATGCATCTTTATGTACGTATGTACATCGCAGATGCCCCTATCACTATGGCATCAGAACCATTAATCTTACCTAGTTTTGAGGTTAGTGACCTCAGGGGAAAGGGCCTGGGGCCATTTTGCCTGCCCCAAGATGGCCATACAGCATTGCCACAAAGGATGGATGGAAGGATGAGTAAATAGCATCTATCAGGATAGACAGAAAGTGCTGAGATCTATCCATAAGGGAGAAAAGCATGAGCATGGCTGTGTCATAACACAAAGCAACCTGGAATTTTCCCCTTTGATGGCAACTGCCATGTCACTCCAGAGCCAAGTGTAAAGCCAGCCCTGTACAAGCAATGCAAGGGGACAGTTTGACCTAAGGCCTTGCTTGACAGGCAATGCTCCCACGCCACGGTGCTAGAGCCAGACCTTTAGCAAACACAACAAAGCCATACCTGCCCCTTTGGCATGAGCTCATGGTGGAATAACTGAAAACTAAACATTTCCGAACTCAAGTATTTGCCAAGTGGTGAAAAGAGACTGATGCAGCCAGTGGAAAGCTGCTTCTAGGTGGCCTCAGGCAGTTCAGATCCTGCTTGCAGATGGGACCACTGTGGTGGCCTCAATTAAGAGACCTTTCTATGCTGGAGTCCACTTGTGCTCTCAGCAGTCAGACCAGCTGGGTAGGAGAAAGCAAGTTTTAAACATCCAGAGCCCTGATCTATAGAAATGTAATTCTCAAAAGGTAAAGATTAACAACGAGAAACCACACAGATTCATTCCAAATGGTCTTAATGAAGATTACTTAAATATGGGCAGTTAAAATATCCCATATGTTAGCGTCCCACAGTCAGGAAGGAGATCCAGGCCTGAGCACAAACTAATAAACCACTCAATGAGAGAGGAGGTCAATATTGGAAAGTAAGAATCTGGGATTTACCTACATCTTTGCTCTTTCTTAGTAGGAGCAGGTAAAATCCTGAAAGGAAAGTACAAGGCTCAGACCTGGGTTCAAGGATGTGTCGCTGGATGGGCCCATTCTCCAGATATGGTTTATTTCACTCTTGAAAGCAGCAAACACCAGAAATTGGACAGGGAGATCTAGACAGGGCACAAATATGAAACGCAAACACAAGACATTCCAGTACAGACCCTTCACTGGAACAAGCCCGAGAGCAAAGCTGTCTATTCCTGTTGATGACAATGCAAAGGACTTCAGCATAACAGTATTTACTTAGCTAAATGAGAGCTGTAATGCACTTCAGCCTTAGAAACAAAACTTGAGCTATTTTAAGTGTTAACATTTTCAAACGTGAGCATTTATTTGCATGTGGCTGTTGGCTTCAGTGGGAGTCACTGCTGAAACAAAGGCACTGCTTTAAGAGCTGTCTCAACAGGCGGAAAGGCTGCGTCAGACACCCTGGAAAACGATGCCCCTTTGCTTTAAGCTCCAGCAGAACACAGAGCAAGGGAGTGCAGACTTAGTTTAGACACAAACAGAAGTAAAAATACATTTTAACTTTGCAAGTTTTAACTTTCTGGAGTCAAACTAGCCCTAGAAAAACAGGCACAATTTGATTGGGCTTCTTGTATGTTAGAGGCATCCCAATCACCTTCCATGAGATTTACAGTTGAGCATTATCTAAGACTCAGGAGTCAAGCTTCAGACCCATTTGGCCATTGCTTAACTCAGTTGCCTGATGCAAGTCACTTCACCATCATTTACTTTACTTCCCTTCAGTAAACTGGGAATAAATACATTCATCCCCTTGGAGAACCCTGGATGAGAATTAAGAATTATTATTAGCTATGCTCATACTAAATGGGTGATGTTAATATAGGAAGTAACATGCCTTGTCTAGTAAAGAGCATTTTTTTCCACATAAGGATGCTGGGAAGTTTTAATGAGCACCTTGACTTTTGCCTTCCTACTGGTAAGAGTCACCCACTTGCTTACAAAGAGGGTGAGCCTTAGTCTTCTTAAGCCTTTCAACACAGAAACAGAGTATGCACTGAGCTCATATGGTCCTGTTTGTTCCAACCTTAACTCCCCCCAACCTGAGAAACTAATCTTTCCCAGGATGAGGTTTTCTTTACGAACATGATGTAGTAATCCTCTTTCTAATAAAGACTACACAACTGTCTTAAGCTTTGCCCATGCATGGAAGGCCCTTGAAAAAAGCCTTTTGTTTTTGCAGATCCAGCAACTTTAGAAGACAGGAGTTAGTAAACAGCAGGCTAATCATTCTGTCTCCATTGACAAGCAGTGAAGGAGTTAATTATCTGCCTCTTTTCACTAATTCTGTTGCAGAGCTTGGTTGTGCATATTAAATGTCCAAGTTACCAGATTCAAAGAAAAACTTGATCTCAATTTGGCTACATATTAGAAGTGCCATTCCCTGTTGTCCTACCTAGCACTGTTAATTGCATACATTTAGCCTTCTATTGGAGAATAATTTAGCTTCAGATTGAAAAGAAACAGCCCTGGCCTTGGTTATTCTGGCATACAAGTCTCCAGTATGACTCTGTTTTCTAAGCAGACATTAATGATTCTAAAACTAATATTCATTGTTTGAAGAGGCATAGCAGCCTTGGCATTTACTTAACCTTTTGTCTCATGTATGAGACTGAGTCAGCCTAAATCCTTTTCTTAATTAATATCTATTCTTCTTTTTTTTATAGTCCAACATTATTTATTAAACAATTTGCATGCAACAATTAGAGTTGAGAGATTAGGAAAAAACCCACTGCATGAGTAAGCTCACTTAGTGCAGCAGCCACCATGAAACTGGTCCTCCAGCTCAAACAAAGCTCCGAGCATGAACGAGAAGGGAATAGGGAGTTAGTAAGGTCAGGTGAAAAAAATGGAAAACCAAGTCCCACCATTTATATGTTAGCCCTAACATTAAGCTATTCCCTACTAAAAACATAATCCTAGAGGGAAAGAGAGGAAATACTCATCTAAAAGCATAAAACCCAGGGATCGGACACCTCTAGTGAGTATCAGTGATGTTAGTTATGATTGTGAATAAACTGCAGTCACTGAACCTGTTTGCTTATTGCTGGGGTAGAAAGAAATTCCCATTGCAGGTTTCTGTAGTGTTTCGCAGGACAGCACTTGTCTGCTCCATCTCAACTGGTCCAGCTGGAGCTCACCTATTTTTACAGCGTGTTTGTTTCTGGCTACTTGTTTTTGCTTTTGTGATCACAACTACTTCGCACATGCTGCTGAGTGTGCAACAAAACACCCTTATGAATGTTCAGACTGACATGGAAAATGGCAAGAACACCTTTGGCAATGAAAATAGAAACATTTTGGGGTTACATTACTAGTTGTATGACATTAAGGAAGAACTGGATTGCAACTGGCTCACACATAAATACACACAGAAGTAGAGACTCGAGCATCTTTCCTCACCTATACTTCCAGCCAGTGGCTATGTGCAATCAGATGCTTTGCACAGTGGATTGACTGTCTCCAAGATGAGAGACTGAATCACCTTTTATATCCTACCAGGGTTGGATGACAAACCAGACCTACATGAAAACTATAATGCTCTCCAGACTTTGAAGTCATAAACAATGTGGATGTGATAATATGAGCCATATCTTGCTCCCATTAGAAGACCCACAGGAATAAGATTCACTCTTGGAATTGGCATCAATGTCATCCTAAATCTTATATTAGGCAATGATCCTAAACCTCTAATGCTTGCAGGATCTCCCTTCTAAAAGGCTTTCAGAGATCTCTGGGTACCACACAAAAGCTCTTGAGCCACATCTTTCCCATGAACCCATAGACAGTGAACCCTCCTACCCATACGACAAGGCCCTAAGGGCCTATGCATGACTTGCTGCTTTCCAGGCAGGGAAGACATGGTTAAGAAACAATGTGGGACTATTGCTTAGGGACCATTACTGAGAGCTGAACTGGACCACTGCCACTACCTCAGAGCTGATGCTCCCAAAAGAAACAGTCTAGCCCTAGGGATCCAGAAGTGTCATTTTCTTCAGAACTACCTCACCAGTGTGGCACTACATTAAATATTATCCCAGGCATATCTTTCAGCAGGTAATTTCTGGGCATGAACTCAGACAGCAGGTTTTAAAATCCAAATGCATGTCTATAAAGCCAACATATTAATAACTTAACAGTTTTCAACAAGACATCAACATTTGCATGCATCTTCCTACTTGTTATGTGCAGTACTACAGTTTTTAATGTTTCTTGGATGCTAGCCAGAGAGTCTGAGTCCCTAGTTAGTTCATCTATTACTTTCTTGCCACAATAGATCTGGGTCTTGGCCAAGTACCGGACTCATACTGCATACAAAAACACAAAATATTCTCCCTTATCTATTGCTAGTCTTCACTTCCCAGGGAAGGGGAAAAAAACATCATAAATTAAGATAAATAACTAAATAGAAAAATCCAGTACTAAGGGTAGTAGAAGCATTTTTAACATCTTTTAACACTATGTGTAATCAAATGATTTCCTTATGTATTTCTACCGCCTTAGTCTCCCAAGAGTCTAATTCATGACTATTCACCTGAACAAGAGAGGAAGATCTCTTCTTTAAACTCCTCCTGGAGCTCCTCAGGCTTTCCACAAGAGTGAGCAAGGTTACATGACCTGAAATAAAACAGAGGAGGAAGACGCTTCAGTACCATCCTTCCTTTTTCTGTTTCTCAACCTATGGACTATGGAAGGACTTAAAGAGGCCATAAGGGGCTAGAGGCAGGCTCTGGTTTATATACGACCTTCAAAAATCTTATCAGCTACTCAGGGCCTCTGGTGTCTTCAGAGGAAGAGAGATGAACACAGAGGAGATGCCTTTTGAAAGAGTTTTGGAAACTTTATCCAGTGCAGTTCTGATGGCAGGACAATGAATATTGACTTTTATTGTCTGTTGAAGGCAGCAAACTAATACTTACATTAACAGCAAGAAAAAGGACTGAATGATATAATCATCCTGGCTATGGTTTTACAGCCACTTTAATCCACCAGAAGTCTTGAGCTGCCCTTGAAAGGGCTGCTCCTGCCCGCCCAGCCCTGATGGGACCATTTTGGCCTACTTGAAGATGTGCATTTGATCAGACAACTAATAAACTAAAACATCATCTGACCCTACAAATGCCCCTTGATGCTGCTGAGCACATGCAAACACAACACTTCAAGCAGGCCAGGCAGGATGAGAAGATGGGGATGGGATTGGAAGGACGCACTGTGCCCTTGGGTACCATCCCTGTTCATGCTGACCACGCAACCACCACTGAACCTGAGTCAAGGACGTGCAGGGCAAAGCCAGGAGCAGCAGGGGAGATGTCTCATCTTCACCTGGGCTGCAGCTCAAATCACAGCTTGGTCCACATGGAATACTTTGCTGTCAGTGTAACACTAATCACAGAAATCCACTGGGTTGACTTGTGAAGTTTTGCTAATAATACCAAGGTAGCTGACAAGTTAATAGAACACATGATTCCTTCTGCTTGAGCTGGGTGAGTATTTTTTCCTGCTTCATTTGCCCAAACAAAGCATCAGGGCCTTAATTTCCGTTATTTCAGAAATGAGATCCTCTTGAAGAATGAAAGGATGCTGTGTTTGAGAGGGAGCTCTTTTATGAAGGCACACAATAATGGAAGCCATTAAAGATACTTGTAAAAATGATTCAGGTTTTTATATCTGATGACTAACTAACTTATTATTGCTCTTCTTGGGCAGAGACTGATGGGAATTTCTTAAAGGATATAGACTTATTTAGCAAGCTGCAGGATATGTACAGGCTTGGAATACACTGTGGTAGTGTGAGTAATAAGAACTGTGGCTGTTTATTTCCTTGACGAATGAACTAAAGCTAAATTCAGAGACAGTGAGATGTCAAAAAAATAAACAAGCCCAAAGTCCCCAAACCCCCCCAAAAGCCTCACAAGGGAAGTGGATGTTTTTTACATGAATCTGAACACATACTTCAGTAAAGAAACCCCAACTGGTAAGAAATTCAGGTTCTCCTGGGCTCTAACTCAAGACGCGATAGGAACATACCAGCCTGATCTCTGAATGGACTGAGAAGCACCAAAGACTTTAAAGAAAGAGTTTTAAATCAGATGATGCTGAATATTTAACAGCTTCTTGGGAAGGGAGAGAAAGAGAGAGACGGACTGCAAGGCACAGAGAACATACTGCTTAGCTGCTTGTAAGAGCTTTCCACAAAGATACTCTCTTTACAGTACTGTCTGGGTGACATGGCTTAGTTTGGGTGACATGGTTCAGTGTGAGGTGTCCCTGCCCATGGCAGGGGGTTGGAACTTGATGATCTTAAGGTCCTTTCCAACCCTCACTATTCTATGATTCTATGATTCTACAAAGCAATGACAACGTGTTTGGTCAAAGATTTCTATGCAAGGAAAATTGACTTCTAAGACCATAAGTAACACAGCCATTTGATTATTCCCTTGATACACATGGATAGCTTTGATTTTTCTAACTCTTTCACATTATAAGTGACTTCAGAGTGTCTTGAAGCATCTCGTCCCCACTGTGCTGAAAAGCAAAGAGTGAGCAGAGCTTCTCTCGGCTGACTATGGCACTAAGGGAAGAGCGCAGATAGTATTTGAGGAGAGAAGGAAATGGAAGGCAGCTGAAAACAGTGTTTGGTTCTTTTCACCACTGATTTGCCAAGTATTTTCTGCAATAACTCTTCTGAGCAACAAATAACAATGATTCGTATGCCCAGGTGAAACAGTAATAGTTTCCCTTTCTCTGCCTGAAACTAACACACCTACTCTAGCTCTTTTCCAAAATAGATCCCAACCAGGTTAGGTAGTAGCAGGGAGCCTTTTGCAGCTTGACACCCAATTATTTTAATATCCACCCTATCTTCCCCCTCTCAGGTTTCATTGGTGTTTTTTTCTCCATTAACTTTTTGAAGGCACACAAAGAATTGAATAACCTTTTCTCTGTGTACCTGGCTGCAGCCGCATCACTGAATGGGGTCCCTGCGACATGTTAAAGGACCTGAAGTGCCTGACAACATGGCACTGCAGTCAAGAATCTTGCCTGGGAAGGGAATAAGAAGATTTATTTTATTTTTAATATTTGAAAGATTTCAAAAAGCATTCAACTGGATTTCTCACTAAGAGGATGAGTGAAGAGAATCCTTTGTAACTAAGCTGGGAGGCCCAAGTCTTTTATCCATTGTTACACAGTTTTTCCCCAGGGCAGAGTTAGGAAGGCCTGCAAGCCCCAGAAGCTTAACAAGAAGAGTACACTGGGTGGGCTTTTCTGCCATTGCCTAAGCTCCTCCTGAGGTAGGAGCTGTCAGAGCCAAGCAGGTCCTGTGCTCTATTTCAGCCACCGACAGAGATTATTTGGGAAGATGCTAGCAACGGAGGGGAATCTGCTCTGTTCAGAGGTGTACACACACCCCCTCCGATATTGAGCCACCTGTACATCTGCTTCCTTAACAAACTAGAAGTAAAACCATTCCACAGAAGATTAGTAGCGAATTGGCACTTGGATTCATCACTGTGCATCAGACTTTGCCAAGCTGCCTTTTCCTGTCGGCTTTTTCAGACTATTATACATGACTGGGTAGCTGGAGATACGTTATCTCCTTCAGGATAGACTGTGTAAAGGGAGGAAAACAATGTAACTGTACTGCTAACACCTTTCTTTCTGCCTTTTGAACTTTTTGCATTTCTACGTGAAACCCCTACAACCTTGATGCAAATGAACCAGTGGGGTTTGATCAAATGGATTTTGGTGCATATTCACAGAGCCTGGTTTACTGCAGTGATGGATTCACCTGTCTTTCCCACTGATATTTGGAAAGTGAGAGCTTGCTTGAGTGATTCCCAAGTGCCAACAATGTGAGAAGGAGCTCAGGACCTGAGGCAGGATACCCAGGGCACATTCTTGCCCTCTATTCCCCCAGAATCTTAATTTAGGACTTGCTCAACCTAGTGCACTACAAACCCATGAATATGCAAGATCTCTATTGGTAAAACGTTGCTTGGCAGCATTTCATAGCACTGTTGGTCTCTGTGAGATCTTCACTGTTAATACAGCCATAGAGGTGCATGAACTAGAAGCAGCAAAAGGCAGTCTACTCATGTCCATTTGCGCCTCAATCAACGTGTCAGAGTTCACCATTCAAAGCTGCTCTCAAATAAAAGGGGAAATAAAACAGCTTTTAAGTAATTAAGCACCTCTTTCCTGAAACAATGCTTGTTAGATCCTAATATAGTGAAATTTTAAAGGCAAATGTCTTGAGTCCACTGCCCAGAAGCAGGAGGATATGGAGTTTGTAAATAACAACGGCAATACAAGTGATGCCTATTTGCTTACTTGATCCCACTGAAATTAATGGTCTGTGGTTTAGGTATGTGTCAGTGCCATAAAGCAGGATACGCTTGGGGACCAGGAGGTGTCTGTTTCATGTGTTAATGATGGAGTTATGGACCAGCAGCAGCCATTTCATAGATGAAGTTGCAGGAGGATTTTTACTATATGCTCAACTCTCCCTTTTAATACTGCAACGAAAAGCTGAAGCAGTTCCCAGGTCAGACCTGGGGCCAAGGATGAAGTTTTTCTGTTAAATTTGAAAGGGATCCAGCTAGAGATTTTCAAAGGATGCCACCCCTGAGAAAACACAGCTTGCAGGCACAGATTGTGCCCCTCCTAGCACTTAGGTGTGTGCTCACACAGGAGTGAATCTGGGTATGAACAAAACTGTGTTCAACCAGATTATTACCCACCCCCGCCACCCTCTTCTCCACTAAAGCTCTTCTTCTCTAGCCCCACCATTCACAAGGAGATGCTTCAATAAACCCAAGAAAACAAGCATCATTCTAAGGAGTTATATTTTAATGTTTATGCTATGGCTTCTTGTATAATAGGAATAATCGCTATTGCTTTGTAGTACACTTACAACAAATAGCTTTTGAGATTGCTCAAACACTTTAGCTCCACTTCAGCTCTTAATCAAACTCAGCAGCTGTTTATTGCAATTACACTATAAAGCAATAGACATTATCCCTTAACTAACTGTCTTATTAATATAGGTAGTTACACAGCTATTTCATAGTTAGTCTTAAATAACTGCTTTTAATTATTTTATTAACATAAATAACCATCTCCATAAATTTCAACTAAATGCATATGTGGGAAATGTAATTTAAAGCATTGCACAAAATTGCTGCTGTTTACTAATGGTTAAATTGATGTCATTGTGTAACTCAATTAAAATGCAACTTTAACTTACTTGAGATTTTGGTCACCCTGGAACACCTCGGACACTAGAACTGCCTCAATATTCCTCAATGGGCACTGGCTGGTCTGTATTCTGGTGTATTTTCTTTGCAGTATTAGTTTGCTGTCAGAATAAGATGTCTTTTTAACCACAAAACTTACAATTTAATATCCCCACTTAATTTTCTCTTCTCCCCATTCCTAGTCAAAGCAACAGATGAAACCAGATTGCATTTTGCCTTCTAGTTCACTTGTGCAACTCTGCTTTCAATGGAGAAAAGGATTTTGCTCCCCTGCGTGATGCTGGATCCTCCATGTCTTATGCCATTTGTTCTGGTAGGATCAGGCTCTTTGCCTTCAGCTAAGGGGAAGCAGACTGTCTGACCTGGCTAGAAATACCTTTATTCTTCCTTATGGGGGACAGGTTACTGTTTAGGGGCCTCATTCTACCCCAAAACCCTCCACTGCAGACTACACTTGCACCACGGCACAGATTAGCGTGTGCCATCTCTCATTTTGCAGCATGGTTTCCCCACCACGCTGGCTTACTCAGAGCTCTTTTCCCCAGAGTCCTTGCTGTCGGGGATGAAACAAAAATCTCCCATCCTTATTCTGTTTTAGAATCCTCCCCTGAAGGATAAAGAGGAAAAACACTTGCTGAAGAGCAAGGAGAAAAGCAGAGGGACTCCCTTCACCGCTTGTTTGCCATACACATGAGATGTTACAAAGTGCTGGGAGAAACTTAGTGGCAAATGTAAGTCAGGAAGGGGGTGAAAATAAGGCTTGAAAATATAAAGGTGCAAAAGGAGATGAAGAGGCCTCACATACTTTCTTGCCAGACATTTTCTTCTGCCACTCAAACCTTTTTGATTTAGTTCTATGGTTGGTGCAGGGACCTGTAAGTGTGAACTGCTACCACTGAAATAAATCACAACAACCCCTCTCAAAAGTAACTGCGACGTAGGGAAAACCAACTGTTGAAGTCAGGAACATGTGAAGGGTCTTGATTTGATTTTCAGCAGCTTTTAAGCTCCAGAACTATGGCAACTGAGGCATATTTGGCTCTTGGACATCAGTCAATGTCGAAGATGTTGCAGGAGAGCAAGGAAAGGAAGAATTTGGTCCATGAAACCCAGCCCACTGATGGTGAATTCTGTTAACTAGCAGTGCCCATTCTATTCTCCAGCTGCTAATTACAGGGGACAATCTCCCTCCAAGGAATCATCAAAGAATGGCATTTCAGTGCATGCACACGCTCTGTATTAGGACGAAGGGTGCCTCAGTGACACCATGCCTATGGAGGAGTGGAATGTAGCTGGAGACAACAAGGATGAAAACGATGATTTATTTATTTGAATACTTCTATCTAAATGTAACAGGTAACATGAAGGGATAATTACAGGCTCTGTCAGAAAGGGGTTGCTGATGCTGCGATCTGGCAGACACACTAAGCTCCTCAGGAGACGCGCTCTGAAAAGTTTACAGACTATGCTGGTGATTCAGTACAAAGGGATTTCACATTAAAAAACTGTAGAAACTAAGAAGTGAGGGAAGACATGTTTCAACTTCAGGTAACTGAGAGTTATCAGGGTTTGGATAATTGAAGTTCCAATGTATATTTGCCTACACTGTCGCTCACCTTTGAGCCCTACCTAGGCATCTTGACATTTATGTAGTCTGAAATCCTGAAAGCTCTGAGTTTAGACAACTAAATTGTTGCTTGTCAATTTAGCCTTGACTGAAAGACAGGTGTTTTGTTTCACAGGAATCCTCCTTTCAGACTCCTCTATTCCCAAACTCAGATTACTGAGCTAAGGAACTATCAAAAATGCAATAATTTACAAGCGGGCAAAGACATTTACATACCTCGAACAAAGGAATTCTTTGGGCAAAATAGGAGGGTTTTAATTATTCCTTGGTTTTTGTCATATGGGATTCTCAGCTCCTGCTCTCTGGTGGGAGCTGGAGGAGCTTGGAGGCTTTGAAGGTTCCTATGGTTTTGGAAATGGGGTAGATCCTTCGCTCCTGCTATGCAGTTGTACAAGCTTGTTCTGCTGAACTCAAGCTCTGAACAAAACCCTGAACAGAAATCCAGCTGAGAAACTGAACCAGAATTCCCCAGTTCTGGAAGCAGGAACAAAATAAGGCCACTACACACACAGCAGTGCAACGCCAACACGGCAAGCAGGGAGTATCTGTTAGCTACATTCTAACTTACCATCTAATTCAAAGTGAGTCATTATTACTGGGCCTTCGTTATTATCCCTAGTAAGTGACTGGGATCCTTTCCTATAATGAACAAGTTCTCTCTTGGCACAACTTTGCACAGGGGAACTAACACAGTCCAAGAGCTGCACATGCTGATGGTGCCACTGGGATCCCACATTTGACTGTACAGTTTTATCCTGTTAATGCAATGGGAAGTGAATCAGGGAGCCCAGAAAACAGCTCAGGCAGAACACAGCACCATCCATCTGACCCCAAATGTAGCCTGCCTTTCAGATGCTACCGCCTGTGAGCAGCAGAGGAGTCCATTATGATGAAATGCCTCACTGCAGAAAGCAGCAGCAAGACCTACAGTGCCCTGACCCAACCCTGCCTACATTCATGTCCTTTGATCATTCAGGTTTTTCTTTTTCCATGCCTCTGTATCTGGGCGCTGGTGACCACACACTTATGGCTTCTTGGCATTGTGGCAGGGTTTGGACCTTAATTCCTCTGTTTATGCCATTAAGTGTGCTGAAGGCAACAGAATAGAAGCTTCATCACACTGACCTGCCAAGACCCTCAGCTCTGACCTGGAGGGATCGTCTGTTCTGGCACGGGTTAAAGGGTCTCATTTAATTTAGAACCTTAAGCTGGATTTGAACTGGAGCCCCAGAAGTAAAAAGCCAGTGTTTTTATCTGGGAAGCCACATGGCTCTGGTTTCCTGATTGGTACTTATGACATCCCAGTATTGGCGAACCACGGAGATATTAACTGCGTGCTCCAATTTCTGCCTTAATTGTGGCCAGCTAGTCTGGTTTTTCCTTCTTTTTTTTTTAAAGGATTTGAGTGACAAAGTGACTATGCATATCATTCCACATTTGAACTGTAAGACTTCAGTATTTCTACCTCTAGTGTGTAATTGGATCAGCTGCCAGTTACAGAAAGGAGCTGGGTGAGTATTAAGTGTGTGGAAAATGAAGAAGAGTCCAAGTGTGAAGGGGAGGAATAATTTGACAAAGCCTGCAGTGAGCTGTACGGGGTTTTCTCGTTCCAAAATGGAGTAGGTTTTGAAGCACATGAGAAAAACCTGGCTTTGATTTATTAGCTTTGGTTCACAGAATGCTAGCCACAATCTTGGACTGACTCAAGGCATATGGAAAGCCACAGTCCCTGCCCCAAGGAGCTTACAATACCCACATTATCACATCAAGGATGGCTGAGTGCCAAGCTGGAAAAGGGGCTGCTTTTATCTGACTCTCTAAAGCTGTGTCTTGAACAACCTTGCCAGGTAGCATGCAAATCTACGGCCCTGGGCTTGGGGGCTTAATGTGGTCATGGTATGGTGCTCCTCAAACCGTTGCACCTAATGCTCTTCTGTAGATCCCCACTGTAGAACTTGCTTATTTCAATTTGGAGTTTCTCAACTAAAGGAGCAGAGCTAGTGTAAACAGGAAGCATTTTAAAATCTGTTATAAAAATCCAAAGTAAATCTTAGCCCTTTAAGAAGGTGAGAAATAGATGAGGACCTTGTCCAGTCAAAAAGTGGGACTGTTTCTACTGGGACAAGATGTGGCCTTGCCACTGAGTTCCTCTTTTAACCACAGTTGTGGCAGGATCATACAGACAGAAGAAATAGGAAATACCTGGAAATTCACGGATAGTTGTCCCTCAGCTGTACAAATCCACTACACTGATCTGTAAGGAATAAGCAAGAAATATTCATTAGTGGTGCAAACAAACAGAGAGGATAACAGATATGCCACGTAGACTGACTGCCCAGCGGCGTGAGGATGCGCATAGTATGGCCATGAAGGTGGGGAGAGTAAAGAACAACTGAGCTTTGCTCTCTCCCAGTTCAAGGTTGCCCTAAGCTACACTTGGTGCTTTACTGCCCATAGAACCAAACTGATACTCTGGGATTTGGAAATTCTTCTGCGATGCCTTCAATAGCAGCCAGTACTGAGAGGAGCAATGTCTCAAAGGGCCCTGAGGCTATGGTTGTAGAGTCATATCCTTTCTCACTGGCACAAAAGCTCCGCAGACGAGTCTAACAGGCAAAAACACAACAAAAAAACAACTCAAAATCATTTCTCTCTGGCTCTCCGAGGGGGGTAGGGCATTAAAACAGAATGCCCTACCTCAGAGGAAGTCAAGATTGGATCAGAACATCTCAGCGAGATAGAAAGGGAGAGATAGCAAGAGGCGGTAGTGTAAAGGTTTTATCAGCATGAGTTTGGGATGACCACATTACTCATAGGTCACTGGGCTTTCCAGCTGACTAGCAACAGATGAAATAAGAACACAATGGCCTCTAGATTTCCAGGTAGCTGCTGCAGCTAAGATTGTCATTTCAGCAGTCCTTTTAGTCTGGAATATGCATGGCGATACTCAGAAAGCGCTGACTTTGTATGCCCCGTGATATCCCACCATCACCATGAGATCCCACTATCGCCAAGCAAGCTCTAGAAGAGTATCAAGATAACATTTGTGTTGTAGGAGGGAGGAAAACATCAGATACCAGGCATTTGGTCTTGCCTACAATTTGCATACTCAGTATGTCCTAATCTTGGACTAGAACTAGAACAGGTACTTCAGAGACCCCGTGGTTCTCAGCCCATCTCCAGCAGGAAGACACTGGGAATGGGTTATCCTGATGTGAATCTAACACAGTTACAGCAGAAAACAGGCATAGCTCTTTATGCCTCATAGCAGCAGCCACAACACTGAGGTTTTGTTGTATAATAAAGACATTACAACTATCATCTATTTACACCAAGGTGTTGCCATTCAGCCAGGCACTAAAAAGACCTTACTTTTTCAGAAGGTACCATCTAATCAGCTATACACACAGAGATCCCAGCAGCCGAGTGGAAAATAACATTGCCATTCCTGACATCTCTCAAATTAGCAAGAGCTTATAATGAAGCTTTTGTAAGACGGCTCTTTCAAGGATTTGTTGGCTACCTCTCATGCTGGGAATGGATGCACACGGGGTAACTGCCCTTCTGCTCTGTGCTTAATTCTCTCACCTCGTACTATGTTGATTGTCTCCTGCACTCGGAGATCTCCTACTTGTGTTTGAACTCTCTGAATACTCTCTTCAGCTACACACAAGGAGCCGGAGGCCTCGGTAACCTTCTACCCCAGCAGTTCTTTTCCTGCAGTCAGGAAATTCTCTCTCTTTTTTTGTTTCCTATTTTTTTATTGCCAAGATCTAGGGGGATTCCCCCTTTCAGTGCTTGGATTTATGCTGGACCTGGATGGCAGCGATTGGTGACAACAGCAGAAACACCCCGCGCCGCACCACTCACAAACAGAAGTGTCTCATTTTGCATAGGGCTTTAGGTCAATATGTTGATAATTTCAGCAATCCCACATTCATATTAGTATTGAGATATCTGGAAAATGATGTGTGCTTCAAATAACTTCAGTAAGCATCATGATATGCCTGTGTCAATGCTTGTACATTTTCCCATTAACTCAACCCAGATAAAACTCTGAGACTTGATTTTCAGCTGATGCAAATGCACAAAGATAATGAAATTACTGCTATGCCAGTTTCCACCTGCAAAACACCTCACCCTGAAATATCTCGATCCCTCTGCCTCCTTCATTCAAGCAGAGGGAGTAGATGCCAGCAGGGGAAGGTTTCACGACTCTGCCTCTAACTCTCTTCAGTGCTATGAGTTTGCATAAGGAGCTAGAGGCTGTAGCTGCCTTCTGCCCTGGCAGGTTTTCCTTCTCCTTCATTCAGGAGATTGTCTTTCTCTTTTTTCTAATGTAATCAATGAGGGAATCCTCCTTCTGCTCCTAGGTTTGAGAGAGCAGCTGATTTGTGGTTTTACCCCAAAATCCACCAAAAGTCACGAGAGAGCTCCTTGACGTTAGTGGGGCTGACCTAGCTGAAAAGGGATGTTCCTGCTGCTGGCCAGGTCCTTCCTTGCCCAGTGTGTATTGCTGGTGTTTGAGCAGTGGGAGCTGCTCAGACCATCGTGCCACAGTGCTCTGCCTCTGACACTGTGAGTACTGGTTGTGTCACCCTGTTACAGAGAGTGACGGACCCAGGGAGAGCAGAGGGATGGTAGGAAGGGACCGGAGCCAAACCCAGGGGCACTGGGAAAGCATCACTGGAGGTACCAGTCTCTGCAGTGCAGAGGGAATCAGAGCTGAGGGCTGTGGAGAGGGATTAGGGAGGAAAAGTAAGTGGCACCACGAAGATGTTTTGCCAGGATATAGGCAGAAGAGAGGAAATACGAGACAGACAAACAGAAGGTGAAACTGGTTTAGAAGGAGGGAAACACACAGAAAACACCATAATAAAGGGACCCCATCAGTATCAACAACACAAGGAGAAAAGAGGACTGATGGATAGCTGTGCTAGCATGAGGGAGGAAGGATAAACCAAACCTCTTCAAAGCAGCAAAAAAAGAAAAGCAAAAATTGGGGTTGGGGGGGAAGCCAGAGGACAAACAAAGCAGAGAGAGAGGATTTCTATGAGCGTGAAGGCATAGGTCAGTACCCCATGGTCATTTCCTAAGAAAGGAGGAAATAGAAGCGAAAGAAAATTCCTAAATATGAAAGACTACTTTAACCAAATGAGACAGTGACTGCTCCTCTCTGATTTTTTGGAAGGTTTGCTATTAGCATATCTCCAATGATAAATGCCTTCATCTGATGCCAGCTTTCTGTAGGCAGAAATGCACACATGCAGCAAATCAGTTCTGCCAGGCAGAAGGCGATGTAACAAGAAACCATTTGGCGCTGCTTTGGTCCATGCACTTCCCCTCCCCAGCATAAACCCTTGCAAGAGGTGCACGGCAGGGCAGTAGAGCAGGAGGACGTTCAGCGATACCAAGGATGAGAACACAAATGTATAATTACACTGGGAGCCTAGAGCTTAATTTGTGCCCTGTCATGCTGGCAATCTCACACCGTTCATTAAACCCACTAAACTCAAGCTAATGTCTCAGATGGCCTCCCGAATGCTTTGGAGCACAGCTCCAAGCTCACCTTTCCATGGAGAGAGGAGCACCTGAGCCACCCCACTGACTTGAAGCCTGAAAGAGGAGCCATGGTAGGGGTATACAGCCCAGTGCTGGGCTCTGTGGAAGAGGGCTGGCTGGAAGGACTGAGCAAAGACTAAAGCCAGGCTTCCTTTTGCAGGCATCATTCAGGCTTTTCCCCTAGCTGAGGTGGAACACATGCCCTACTCCATGGGAGGGAGGTAATTCCAGACCTGAGGCTTAAGCCAAGATAATTTTGGCATGTAACTCTGTATTTTGAATGACAGAAGGAGACATTTTCCATGCTGGCCTAGCTTTAAAAGTAAAGATGTAAGGGTGGCCCTTTATGCAGAAGTTTGGTGGGGTTAAAAGTTGTGCCTACTGATGGGTTTTCAAGCAGAGAAATATCCGCCAACTAATCCTTAGGTCTTATACTGCATATGGGCAAATAGTGCTCTCACTTCCATCCCCTCAGTGGGGCTGGATGATTAACACTAATGATTTCAAAGGCAATATTCTGCCTGTTGATCAGGGCGCCATTCTGGAAGGGATGGATTCAGATCGACACCGAAAGTTGACTTTGCAATGCATACATATACATCCACTTGCAACAAAAGTGCCGCGTATAGTCCTTGGTTTACCAGTAAAACCCAGTTAGCTTCTGTGGTACCACACCAACTTAAGTGAGATGACAGTGTGGCCACAAATCCTGCCATCTAGAGCCCACATCCCAAAGTCTTTACTCAGACTTCAACTCACTGACTGTAATAGACCTTAATTCAGGGTAGCATCTTCACTAAGAGTGCTTCTATACACATCTTATTTGCCAGAATAAACATGTTTTGTTTTCTGGGGTGGGAAAGAATATTCAGATTATTCTTTTTAATAGACCCCCCCCCCCCCATCCTCTCTTTCTGAAGCAGACAGCTTAGAGACACAGAACAACCCTTTTTTGTGCCCCCCCCCCCCGCCTTGCTCTGTACAGCACCCCAGTTCCACCCTCACTTTAAGATTAACTGTCTATCTGTAGACTGACTGTGCTATCCTTAAGGGCAGATATTATTTGGATTTAGTTATTATACCAAGGTGCATTTGTGCTTCTAAATGGGCAGCTGTACTGTAAATGGAACACAAAGGAGCAAAATCCAGCCTGTTCCAGCGTGGGTCCAAAGCCCAGAGTGCCTGTGATGCTGTCGTCTTTTGTTTCAAATGCAGATAGAGAAAACTACAGCCCTTTTTTTTGTTTTCCATGATGGTTATAATGCAGAATATGAAAAACTCTTGGGATGGTTTAAGCTGCAGGGTATTCTCCCAGAGTTCTGTCCAAAAATAATCTAGTAAAAATGTGGACAGAGAACCATCGACCTCTGCTTTCCCCTGAACATATGCAGCTCTGATCAGTCTGGTATTTCAAGAAAAACAAGGTCCTGAACCCTAATCCTCAGACACATAACAAAGCGCACTTCACAGCTGTGATGCACAGCTACTATCAGCTCTGAGGCCTGAGTGGGTCCCAAGACAATGCCTCCTTTATCACCCAGAGGACAAATATCTAGACAGCAATATTTTCTGCTTGAATGCTTCAAGCATCTCTCGCAACTCCTGACTGAAAAAGAAAACTGAGCTGAGAGTGTTTGCTGAGTGATTATTTTAATTTACTACTTGATGTAAATCTAAATGAACTGACATCCA